AGACCTCTTCCTGGTACTGTTGTTTCTGGATACAAAACCCCTTCCCAAGACCCCTCAGTCAGGCGGAAATACTGGTTGCTATACGCTATGCCGGAAACATGGAGCTGCGTAACTAACTAGCTGGCCAATCTCCTCCTTCACCTCTCCCAGGAAGCAGGCCTCCTCCTCAGGGCCAGATAAGGAATGACTCACAGTGGCCAGCTCACCTTAGCCACTAAAACCTTTATGGAGATTCAGTTACCGCCCTGTTTCGTGACCCCCTAGGGCCCTTCTACAACGGATTCCCTAATTTATAGTCATGTATGACTATGGTAGTGTGTGTATGTGTGTGTGTGTGTGTGTGTGTGTGTGTGTGTGCGCGCGCGCGCGCTCACGCTGTTGCTGCCTTCTTCCTGGAGAAGATGGTGACTAGAAGGCAGTTTGCTGGGTTTTAGAGAAATGGCTCTTCAAAAGAGAGAACTGGCTTTGAACACTTTTCATTTCATTTCATTTCATTTCATTTCATTTCATTTCATTTCATTTCATTTCATTTCATGGGAGTTAACAGGGCTTGGAGACAGGGAGCGGCTGACCTGTCTCCCCATCTCCCTAACCCCCCTTTCAGGAGGCCCAGAATTTCTGTCCTGAGACAGAAACAACGCTGACAAAACTAGAAGGTACCATGGGGACACTGCTAAGGACTAGTGAGATGGCGTGGGCAGGAACTCGGGGGTGAAGCTGTTGAAGAGCCCCACAGTATGGATCAGGGAGCCTGGCCCAAGGAAGAGATCTAGCAAGAAGGGTCTGGAATTGTTGCACTGGGGGCTGGAAGTGGAGATGCTCCACTCCGTGTTGCTGATTTTAGTCCACTTCCCCCTTCCCCTCTGTTCTAAGGAGGTTTCTGAGGTCCTCTGGATTCAGCCTTCCCCATTTGAACACACTGTTTAACACCCCAGAACTGCCCAAGGAGGGCAGGTTCCATTCCATTTCTCTCTCTGGGTGGCAGGTGCCAAATGCCTCATGCACAAGCAATCAGCCTCTGCCAGGCTCAGAGTCCTCATCATGGGAATATTAAAGACACTCAGAGGTCTTGCTAAATGTGTCATCTTGAGACTGGGGTAGGGAGATGTCCCTGTGGGTGTGAGAGTTGAGTTTCTGAGCTGGGTCAACCATGTTGGAGGTGAGGTTTAAGCACCTACACAGTGGAGAAGCCACTCTGGCAGCCTTGTGTATCTGTTTCCTGAAGCTGTATCTATTGTCACCTATGGCTTTGTGTGGCTACAGCAGGGTGGGGCAACTTTGCCTCAGACAGTCAAGGAACAGGATCTGTCTTTGTCAAGAGGGAACGAATGGGGAATTGGGGTGGTGGTCTCTGCCACCAGGGGGACTCTGAGAGGCTGTTATTTCCAGTGGTGTATAAAAATCTGGTGTGTGTGTGTGTGTGTGTGTTAATGATCACATGGAGGGAGGGATTTATTAGCATAATTCCAAAGGGGGCACTTTTAAAGAAGTTATTGAGTGGGGGCTCAAAGGGGTGTCATTCCTGCGGGTGTCACATTCTTGGAGGTCTTAAAGGGCCACGGTGATACTGTCATTCCGGAAGTCAGTGTTGTCTAAGCCTGTGTAGTGGGGGGCTGAGGAGTCAGAATGGGTTCGTTCTGTCTTGGAGTGGCCTGGGGTGGGGCAGCTGTGGGGAGGACTGGGGCCTCTGGCTCTTGGGAGGGGAGAGGTAGGGCCAGAGTCGCCAGGAATTGACCAATGGGGAGAGCGCCTTTATTTGTACTCAGGAGCTTGGAAATTCCTGATACCCGCCCCTGCAACAACTCCATCCCCCTCCCGCCTGGGGCATAAAAAGCCCCAGGTGAGGGCCTTGCCACTCCTCTTGCGGTCAGCTGCTCTCAGGCCTGCGTCCCCTGTCTCTACGCTAAAGTTTTCCTCCTCACCATGACTTCCTATAGCTATCGCCAGTCGTCAGCCACCTCTTCTTTCGGGGGAATGGGCGGAGGCTCGGTGCGCTTTGGGTCAGGGGGTGTTTTCCGTGCACCCAGCATCCACGGGGGTTCAGGTGGCCGCGGTGTGTCCGTGTCCTCTACCCGTATCGTGACCTCGTCCTCCGGGAACTATGGCGGAGGCTACGGCGGAAGTTTCGGTGGGACTCTGGCTGTGTCCGATGGGCTGCTGGCTGGCAACGAAAAGGTCACCATGCAGAACCTCAACGATCGCCTCGCCTCCTACTTGGACAAGGTGCGCGCCCTGGAGCAGGCCAACGGCGAGCTGGAGGTGAAGATCCGTGACTGGTACCAGAAGCAGGGGCCCGGACCCTCCCGCGATTACAGCCACTACTTCAAGACCATCCAGGACCTGCGCGACAAGGTGGGCAGCGGCCGGGCCCTGGGAGGCGCATTTGCTGGGGTTGGGCAGGGAAGTGGCGGAAACTCAGCCTGCGGGCGGGCAAACCCGTTACAACATCGTGGGAGAACCGGCAGGGTGGGGCAGAAAGGCTGGGCTGGACCCTGGAACTCGAGTGGAGGCGGGGTGGAAGAAGCCGAGCCGGACAGGTAAGTGGGTGGGGCCTTCAGGGGTGGTGGGGAACCTGCTTGGAGAGAGGGTCAGGAATATCCAAAGAGAGAGCAATGCCACACAGCTGTGGGTTGCCCAGAGCTGGAGGCTGCGAGCCATAGCCTCGGCTGGGGACCGGGATATTAGTCTGTGGGATTCTTGGTTCATCTGAGCCAGCGACTCAAGGAGTTTTCAGCATTCTTTTCTCGATAGTGAGCGTCTGGTTTTCTTCACACCAGCCCTCCTCCCCCTCTTCTCCAGCCCAGAGGACCACCCAGGCTCACAAGGAGCTCTAGGAAGAATGGAAGAGCTGGGGGCTGCATAGACACCCCCCCCCACGTCTCAAAAAAATTTCTAGTCAGGCATGGTAGCTCAGGCCTGTAATCCCTGTGAGCAACGGGGAGGTAGAGGCTAGAGCGGAGGTTTTCTACAGTTCTAATGTGAGACCCTTTAATACGCATGGTTCCTCACGCTGTGTTGACCCCCAACTATAAAATCACTTTTGTTGCTACTTCATAACTGTAATTTTACTACTGTTATGAACAGTAAATGTTGTGACCCACAGGTTGAGAATCGCTGGGTTAGATAGAGGCTGAGTTCCTGGCTCAGCTACATGCTAACGTGAGACAAGTCAGGGCTATGTGAATCTCTCTAATCCCCTCCCCAACAAAAGCTCCAAACAAACAAACAAACAAACAAACAAACAAACAAACAGGAAAACCCCTAACATGAAACAAAACAAGAGAAAAGAAAAATTAAAAAAAAAACTGTTTTAGCAAATGAGAGACAGGGAGGGGTTATGTATACTCTCTCTTGAAGTACCAGGTACAGAGAAGGCAACCAGGTCTGTCTGAAACACAGGCCTGTAGGATGGGGCGTGGTCTTCCCTTCTAGGGAAGAGCTGAGTCCTGAAGAAATGTACCAGAGACCAGGGAAGCATTTAACAGCTCCCTCCCCGCTAGATATCCCATCATTCAGTTCTCTAGAGCATTTTCCAGTGCTGCCTGTACCCAGCATGGTGTTGGGCACTGATGCTAGAGATGCCAATCAAACAGTGAGAGTAGTGTTTTCTTTTTATTTTATTTTTTTATTTATTCTTTGTGAGAGTAGTGTTGTTTTTTTTTTTTTAACACAGCAGGAAGCACCCTTTTTTCCTGTCTTGTCCCCTTTCACATGCCCACAGCAGATGTATCTGGAGGCAACTCATTTTTAAGTTTGAGACAGGGTTTCTCTGTGTAACAACCTTCGCTGTCCTGGGAATTCACTCTGTAGACCAGGCTGGCCTTGAACTCACAGAGATTCTCCTGCCTCTGTCTCCCGAGTGCTGGGATTAGAGGCGTACGCCACCACGGCCAGCTAGAAGCAATTCTTACTCTGCTGTGGTCTCCTCTGATTTTCATATCCTGCTGTTTTCTTTAGCCATCGCCCTCTCCGTCCCCTTCCCAACCAATGTAGCTATGGTGGCTTACACCTATAAGCCCAGCACTAGGAAGCAGAGGCAGGAGGATGATGAGGCTAATGCCAGCTGAGTTACCTAGTGAGACTCTGTTTGGAAAAGTCAAGCCAGATGAAAACAAATCAAACAAAACAAAACATAAAACAACAACAAATCCTGCAAATGATGTCACAATGAGTGGTCATGACCTGATCTTTGAAAACACTGAGCCCAGGTATTTAAATCAGTGGTGACTTGGATGATTTGAATGTACCACTCAGATCAGAGAGTTTTCAGACTGGGGAAACTCAGGATATCTAATTCTGTTCCCGGGGTGGTACCGGGGTGGTACCGATGTGGGAGTGAGACTGAGTGACTCTGAAGGGTAAGGTGCCCAAGGTGCCTGGCACATTGTAGATGATCAATGAAAGATACCCCAACCCCAACCCCCTGGAAGGCAGAATATGCTTTGAGTGTGGGATATAGGCAGGGATAAGAGCTGCTTCTTCTTCTTCTTCTTCTTCTTCTTCTTCTTCTTCTTCTTCTTCTTCTTCTTCTTCTTCTTCTTCTTCTTCCTCCTCTTCCTCCTCTTCCTCCTCTTCCTCCTCCTCCTCCTCCTCCTCCTCCTCCTCAAACCAGGCTGGCCTCGGACTCACAGCAATCCTCCTGCCTCTGCCTCCCAAGTGCTGGGATTAAAGGTGTGCGCCACCCCCGCCCTGTGGGATAAGCGATTCTCAAGGCTTCATGCTTCAGGTTTATAGGTCCCTTTCAGACCACTTTGAGTTTTACCTGCACAAGCCTTAGACATGTCTTTCCGGATTTGCCTCTTTGCCCTACTCCCTTCACCCAATCTCTTTCGCAGTGTGTGCTCAGGGGCTGTGGATCAGCCTCCCAGAGAACAGGCTGGAGGGTAGCATTTAGGGAGTGGGACCCATTCATTCATTCCTCCCTCCTTCTCTGGGAAGAAAGTGGATAGGTAACACTGGTTTGTCAAACTGGTGCCAACTTCTGGCCTCCTCCCTTCCAGATTCTTGGTGCCACCATTGACAATTCCAAGATTGTCCTGCAGATTGATAATGCCCGCCTGGCCGCAGATGACTTCCGAACCAAGTAAGTATCCCTGCTTTGGGAGCTTCAGAAGCTGGGGTGGTGGGTTGGGAGCAACCCTGGCCTTTATAGTGCTCAGTGCAGTGGATTTGAGTTGGATTGAAACAAACCCCCACAGACTCCTAAACGCTGGGGAAGTTGACCGAGACACAGAGCCAGCACTAGTCTGACTGTAACTATTTCCTTCGAAAGGTTTGAGACCGAGCAGGCCTTGCGTCTGAGTGTGGAGGCTGACATCAATGGCCTGCGCCGTGTGCTGGATGAGCTGACCCTGGCCAGGACCGACCTGGAGATGCAGATTGAGGGCCTGAAGGAGGAACTGGCCTACCTGAAGAAGAACCATGAGGAGGTGGGTCGAGCGGGGCCTTCTGTCCACCATGTCCTAGAGCTGAGAGACATCATTATCTTGGACTCACTGGCCATGATCTCATTTCTTACATCATCAGAATGGTCCTGGCTTGTGACCATTTGTCTCAGTCCCACCCGGGCGTGATGACCATCACATTACTCTCCAGTGTTGGCTCCTAGATCGGCACCTCCAAAACAAACCCTCTCTGGCTCAGGGCTTGGGGGAGTGACCTGGTCCAGCTCCAGCATGTGTAGGTCTTGACATGCCCACTTCTATGGTGTCTTTACAGGAAATTAGTGCCCTGAGGAGCCAGGTGGGTGGCCAGGTCAGTGTGGAGGTGGATTCTGCTCCAGGTGTCGACCTAGCCAAGATCCTGAGTGACATGAGAAGTCAATATGAGGTCATGGCTGAGAAGAACCGGAAGGATGCTGAAGCCTTGTTCATCACTCGGGTATGCAGAGGATGGCTGTGTCCTGTAGGGTTGGTGAGAAAAGAGACCCTGACTCCCCCACGCAATGATAGGCCTTGTTGCTTATTTTTTCCTTGACCTGTCCTGTTACAGACCGAGGAGCTGACCAAGGAGGTCGCTGTCCACACTGAGCAGCTCCAGGCAAGCAAGACGGAAGTCACCGACCTACGACGCACCCTCCAGGGTCTCGAGATTGAGCTGCAGTCCCAACTCAGCATGGTACGTGTTTCCACCCTACGGGCCGCACACTTGTGCCCTTTCGACCTCAGGTAGCTCGGCTGGTGGCGGTACCTGTGTTCAGGAACCTGCCTCTGCTGTCTCATGGCCCTTTTCCCTCCCCTCAGAAAGCCGCCCTGGAAGGCACGCTGGCAGAGACAGAGGCCCGCTACGGAGCCCAGCTGGCACAGATCCAGGGCGTGATCAGCAGCATCGAAGCCCAGTTGAGCGATGTGCGCGCTGACACCGAGCGCCAGAACCTCGAGTATCAGCAGCTCATGGACATCAAGTCGAGGCTGGAGCAGGAGATCGCCACTTACAGGAGCCTGCTCGAGGGACAGGAAGCCCACTACAACAACCTGCCCACCCCCAAGGCCATCTGAGCCCATCCTGGGCTCCGGCCCTGCTGTCAGTGAGACTCCCCTGGGGAGGGGCATGGCTTGTCAATAAAACTATTCTCCGGGGGCACAATGATGCTTTGCTTATTGTAGCCCATGGAGTGATGGGTCGTGTCTTAGCCTCTTGTTTTATCTGAACCACGTCCACCTTGTCCCACCATAGGGAGTGGGGACAAGAGCACACTGCTATGGGGATGGTAATTTCCCTTTGTGCAGGTTTGTATCTAACCTGCTCTTTACAGCAGTCTCGCCTCCATTTAAGAGAGGTAGAGTAGGGCTTAGAGAGGCCCCGTGGTCGGTGCATCTGTCAGTGCTACAATACATGGCAAAAGTGAGGGGTGTGCGTGTGTATGTGTGTGTGCGTGTGTGTGTGTGTGTGTGTGTGCGTGCGTGTGTGTGTGTGTGTGTGTGAGACCAGAGGTTAACATTAGGTGTCTTCTGTAATCACCCCCTTGTGTTGAGATTGCAGATGTGCAACGCTGCACCTGCTTTCTTATTTACGTGGCGTGCGGAGGTGTGCACACACGAGCATGCGGCTGTGTGGATGTGAAGGTTAGGGGTCAGCTCTCTCCTTCCACCCACATGTGTTCTAGGGACCCAACTCAGGTTGTCAGGTTGGGTGGCACATGCCGTTACCCACAAAATCATCTTGTGGCCCCACATCAGCTTTCCAGGCGGGTGCTGGGCATCCGATCTCAGGTCCTCATGGTTGTGCAGTAAGTGACTCTGCTGCCAGACTCCTCACTCCAGCCTCACAAGCATGATTGAAACCGGCTCAGGCTTAGTTTTCTTTCTACTGCACTCCCTTGGGTTGGGATGTGTGTAAGAAATGAATGCAGATTGAACACCTACTACGTTCAGTTAATAGAAACAACCCCAGAGGTAGGATGAGTTGCGTTTTATACAGCAGGGAGTGAGCTCGGAGAAGCTAAACCTCTGGTTGAGGCTACACGCAGGCGATGCAACACAGTCAGAGCTAGCTTGAAAGCGGTCCAGTTCTCCGCCACTGTGAGCCAGGTGGTCTCCTAGCGCTAACATCATTTCTCCTAGCCTTGTTCCATGTGATGGCTCAGAATAGGGATCTCCCGAGGCGTTTTGTCCTGACACATTACTTAACCCACACTGGGACTTTGGGGTTTAGACACTGTTTAAAGCAAGGCTGGTGAGGGTGTCTTTGCCTGTGTAGGTCTGTTGGCAGGTACCAACACATTCCTTACACGCAGCAGCCCTGCATAAGCCCCTTAACACTCACCAACTCCTACCTGGGCCCAGAGCCTGGAATATGGGTCTGGGTTGTAACCTAGACCTCCCACCTGGGTCCCCAACCTGCCTTGTCTGGAACCCGCCCTGAGCTCACAAAGGAACAAAATTGTAGCTTCCTGGTTCAGCTCTGCCCCTGGGTAGGTATGGTGACCTTGTGGTTTACAGTTGAGCTGCCAAGAGCTGAGGCCAATTCAGGGTAAACAAGGGACCCATGAAACAAGGCCTTGGTTGCAGGGTGCCTGTGGGGGGGCAACAACAAGTGAAAGACCCTTGACTTACTCAGTACCTCATCTGAGGCCGTTGGTTGCCCGTGCCTGAACAAGGCACTATTTCTTTCTTTCCCCCATGGGTCTCCGTACCTTAGCTTTTTCCAAATCATAAGGCTGATTATAAAAGTGTGGTCCCAGAGCCCTGCTCTCCCCTTTTCTGCCCACCCCCATGGCCTCCTTCTCTGCCTTACAATACCCTCAGTCGTCTTCCATCACGTAAGTTCGCAGAAGGTTTTGGAACGGGTGGCAGAGGCCAGGCCGCACCCCGGCCTCAGATTGCCCCGAGATCCTTGTCCCTGCCTATGAAAGCTTCTCTTGTCAAAACAGAAACCCTCCCTGTGCCCCAGGGGACCCTGGAATGTGACTGTGGGGCGGGGTGCAGGCCCACACAGGTGTGGCAGGTGACTGGGTCACCAGCACAGGAGCATGCAGCTTGATGTGTGGGACGAAGCCTTTCTTTGTGTGTGCAGGATGGAAAGGCTTTGCTCTTTCAGCCCCAGAGCTGTTTATGGGGAACTCTGGGGCTGACAGTGGAGCTGGGTCTTCCCATCGTGGGTATCATCATGGCTATCCCTGTTTGCAACACATTTCCCATCAGTCGCCTTGCTCTGTTTATGCGTCAGTCACGTCTAGGTATGGAGCTGTTTCCATTTCCCCGGCATAGATGGAAGCTCAGAAAGAGGCTAATCCATTGCACAGAGCCATACCCCTGGTAGAAATGGAAAGGCAAGTCTCTAAGGCTAGAGGCTGAATACTCTAGCTCTGGAGCTGACCTAGAGGGCAGGGAAGGTGGGGATGAGAGCTAATGTGCTCACTATGGTGCCGGGCCCTGACAAACCATTTTGAACCACGATCCAGGCTCAGAGAGGCCAAGTCACCTCCGAGATAAACCCCAGTGGGCAGCCTGACCTCATCTCAAGGAGGGAGGCCCTGTTTCAGAGACACCTGTTTGGTTACTGTGGGCAAAGACCAGAAACAGGCACCTATGTTCCCAAGCTGCTGATGAAGACGCTCTAAACCTTACCCAGATATGTGCTTACAGTAGCTGTTGGGACTGAGATCAGGGCCTTCCTCCTTCCCTTCCTTTCTTCCTTCCTTTCTAATTTCCTTCCTTTCATGTGTGCAAGCTTGTGAAGGCCAGAGTTGTTCTCCAATCGCTTTCTATCTTGGTTTTTGAGAGAAGGCCGTTCTCTGAGACAGGAGCTCACTGACTGGGCTGGACTGGCTGGCCAGTGAGCTTCAGTGTTCTACTTCTCCTTCCCCTCCCCTTGGGTTTATAACCCTGTGCTTGGGGGGGGGGCGCGGATAAACCTTTAGCACCGTACCTGGCTCTTACATGGGGACTGGGGATCCTGCCTCAGATCTTCATACTTGCGTGGGGAATACTCTATTGACTGAGCCATCTCTCCAGCCCCAAGATTAGAGATTTCTTTTGAATTAGGCCAGAGAAGAAGGCAGGTGTCACTCCTGACTTGGGCCAGAGAATGTAAGGAAAGTCTCCCCAAGGGCTGTTAGCGGGGTGTAAAGGCGCAGAAGAGAGGCTGGCTGGAGTCCAGTTCTCTCTCACCCTGGGGGTGATGGAAGATTAATTGTTCTCTGTGTTAATTGCTGGGGCCGCCATGTCTGCCGAGGTTTTAATGAGCTCTGACTGATCTTGGTTTGATTATTTTTCTATGGAAGGAAAAGACAATATCCTCCCACCCATAAGACAATACTATACTGTCTGGGGCCAGCCCCAGGATGCCTGGCTTGCTGTGAAGCTGCCGGGGAGCCCTCTACCTGAGGCCTGTAGCTCTTTTAATCCAGTGCAGATAACAGGAAAGTTTTCTGTATCTTGCTTGGGTGGGTGGGTGGGAGTGGGGTTCTCAAAGGGCTGACAGAGTCCTGGTAATCCCCTCTTCAGGTGGGCGGTCCTGTGCTCGCTCACAGCGTCATCCCTTTGAGTCTTAATTTTGTCCCTTCTGAAACTCGGGCCACAGTTGTGCATTGTGTCATGGGATTAGAGGGGATTGTGGATACAAAAGTACTTTGTCAGTCCTGAAAGTCTGGGGTAGAAGTAGAGGATTATCCTGTTACAGCCAAAAGAAGGGTCATCTGATGGCTACCTGGAGCGGCCCAGCCTGAGAACGCTCCGAGTCCGAGGAGGGTTCTCAGGAGGTTCAGGTGTCAGACTTGCCGCCATCACTCCCCTCCGACGGATGACTCGGGGAGTTGGGGGGGGGCAGGATGGGAATCTTGAGTCTCAGGACATCCCATAAAAGTGTTCTATATCACAAAGAAGCTAAGCCTTAAAAAGCGACATGTGTTTCACAGGAGCCATTGATAGAAATGGGGTTTAAACACAGGCCCAAGGCGGGCCAGACCCTTATCCACCTTCCCTTTTCGTTCGCAGTCCCCATGAGGAGGGGCACCACCCACAGTGCCATCGTCTTAGAGAAATAGCGCTATTGAACCGGTGGCAGAGGATCCTCCTGAGTGTGTGCCTGTCTTTTTCGGCCTTGGTATTCCATGGGACTGATTCCTTGGCTTCTGAGCTCTGATGCCTTCCACCTGCTTGCCAGCCCCCCTTGCCCCCGCCTTCCTCCCAGCACTTAGGCACGCAGAGCCTCTAACTCAGCCCCTCCCCAGTTGGCAGCAGTTGACAAGGCAAATGGGGGTTAATCTGGCCCTGCTAAGCAGGGACATGTCTCTTGCTGGAGAAGGCGGGGGCTTTCTGGAACTTGCCCGAGTCTTATCTGCAGGGGTTTGCCCCAACGCGTCTTGGGAGCAAGCAGAGGTTCAGTGACATGTGCAGTTGGCAGGTGACAGGATTATCAATCAGACTCCTGTCAACCTGAGCCTTCTGGGCTTTTGTCAACTAGCCAGGACCATGAGTTGGGGGGAACTGAAGAGGCAGGAGGGACTTCTGAGATTGGAGTGGTGGGGGCTAGTGAGAGGAGAGAACATTCCCAGGCATCAGGGATGGGAAAGAGGGACAGAGACTGGCTTTTCTGGTCACCTTAGTGGGAGCTTAACTCGAGACCCTATCCTCAGGCTGCCCTGTGGTCACCTGTGTTCTCATTCCTAGGGACTTCCAAGTCTTGAAGGCTCATGCACAGGGCCTTTGAGCAGGGAGTACAGAGCAGCGATGGAGGAAACTGAGAGCAGGCAGCTGTCTACCTCGGGGTGAGGCTCACACGCTAGCTGTGGGGGACAGAGCTGATCCGGCTGCTCTAACAGGGTGGGACACGAGAGGACCCTGGGAGCTGTGCTATGCTGAGGATTTGCTCTTGCCGCTCTCTTCTTCCTGGAGTAAGAAATGAACCTGTAATCCAAGTGTTAAAATGTGGCCTAGAGCAAAACCCCATTAATTCTGAATCATCTCTTTTGTTGCATTAAGGAAAAAAAAAAAAAAGAAAAGAAAACTTCCCCACAAGTGAGCCTTATGGAGGTGTGCAGGCAGCTGTGTTTGTCTGGAAGGCAGAGGAGTTGGCTCCACTCAGGGGGAGGAGGCGAGGCCCCCACCCCCTCCTAAGGGTATATAAGGAGTCCCAGGCCAGGGGCGACAACACTGAAGTCTGGTTTCAGCCCAGCTCAGGAGCTTCTGC